AGGAACTGGTTTCCGTGAGGGATGAGGCTCTGCGTACCTTGCTTAGGCTTAAGCAGATGTTCGATTCCAAGGTATGCTGTAGTGCCGTTGGTTTCTGAGTTTGGGTTTTGTTTTGTTAAAGATTTCCTGTATTAATTTTAAAGACACTTGGTACATCAAGAGTTTGTTACAATATGTGTAAGTAAGCAAAAGGAAAGATGGAAGGCTAGAAACCCAGAAAATTCCAGCAAAAGAAAACCCAAATTAGACAGGGAGCTGATGATGATATTAATAATCAAGGAGTCAATTGGTCGAGAACCATAGCTGCAGCAAGTGGCTGGCTGTTTCCGGCTGTGTGGTCTGGATAGTCGCCATTTTGGTTCGAATGGCAGTGTCAATGTCTTTGCAAATTGCAGAGGAGTCTTTGAATCTCCAGTTATGGTTTCTCGAGTTGTGTTCGGTCCATATAGTGTAGATGAGTAATTGCCATGTTAATCATGCACCCCAATGTCGGAACTTGCAGTTCCAGTTTCCTAACTACCACCTTAAACCGATTTATGTTCGGTTTCACTAGGTTTTTGTCTGAATTTGTCTCTTGTTGTTTGTTATGTTGTGCCAATTCAGTTGTTGTGGATTCCCTTTCTATCATTATCGAATTCAAGCCTCAAGCCTTCTGTTGTCAAAGTTGTGAGGCTTTTACGCTGCATAGATTGTTTTTGGAGTTCATACTCTGAGTGCTCTCATGATTTTCTTGTCATGAGATGAGTCCTATGATCAAGTTTTTCAGCTTTTCTTTTGGCGAATACAGATTTATACGCAGGGAATGTTAATATGGCGAGCTTAGGTTATTCAAATCCTTTTTTTTTCTTAAGTAACTTGCAATTCAGATTCTATTTAGTGTCCGTGGCATTGATCTTCTTCGTCGTTCTTCTTCTTTGTGTTTTATTGTATGAAGAGCTGAAATTAGAGGGCTGTGATGGAATCATTTACCTAATGCCCATTGTAAACTGTGGTTCTGATGCTTTGTGCCTGATATTCTACCACCTCAGTGCTATTGTTCATGAATTAGAGAAATGGTTTGGGTCAGCCCACGAGTGTTACCCTTGCAAGGTGGTCCTTGGTGATTGATTCAGACATGATTTCGTGTTTCCTATTTAGCTTCAGAAATAGATTGCCTGTTTTAGAACTTTAGGTCATGACTTCACGATCATCCAATCATAATCTTGTTGAACTCTTAGGCTTTGCGCTCTTTTTATGCATTGCTCATTGATGCGTGAAATTTGATGCTCATTGTTCCGAGAATAATGTGTTGGTGTAACTGCAATTGCCAGCTCTTTTTTAGTTGTGTGTGTACAAAATTGGGTGCTGAGATTAGGCAACTTGGTATTTAACATATTTGGCTGTAATTTCTGAATATTTCAACCAAGCAAGTGGATTCATGAGCTAGGATGGGACCTCTGGCTATGTTGAATATGTGCATTGATGTATACAAATTTTTTGGCCGACATGAAGTGGTAAAATGTGGTTGTGTTTCATACTCATTTCCTCGTATGTCGGAGTGAAATGATTAGAGGAAGGGCTTCTCATTGTTGGCTTTGCATTTTCTCCTTAACTCTCATCTTTGAGACTGTTTTCCGTTAAAGGTCAAGGAATCGGAGATAATATCAGTGAGTAAGCAAAATAAGATTGAAGAGCTTGAAGCCCAACTCGGAGAAGCAGAAGATATCGTAGGAGAGCTGAGAATGGAGTTGCGAGAACTTCAGGATGAGTTGCAGAAAGTAACGAGTGGTCAAACACATCTTAACAACAAGGAAAGTCTGTGCTGGGAGAACGGTAAAGCAGATCAATTTTCACGGGAGGACTATAGCAGTCATGAGAGATCAGAGGCTGAAAAATCCTATGACCCAGTCGGGAAAAGTGGATCGGTTGTGGCTAAGAATGCATCTTTGAGTGGCATGAAGAATATTCGTCGGTGTTCTTACACTCTTCCATCCATATTAACAAGGCGCAGGGACAATGAAGTGTTGAAAGAGGAATTTGATCAGATGATCCACACATTGGAACGGAGTAAAGCTCCTCATGGAGATATGATTGCTTCTGTAAAATCAGATGATGTCAAGAACAAAGGACCCTCTTGTAAGAGCTCTTCAGATCAGAGTGGTGAGACCTCGCAAACGTCTGTAAGTGATTCGCCATCTTCTCTCCACAGTGATATTAGGAATGGAGGAAAAGAGCAAAACGCCGCTTCTCAAAACGGGTCTGACACTTCAACGTCCTTGAAAACAGCGTCGAGTGCTGAGGAATGCAACAGAAAAACGTTGATTGGAAAAGCGGGTTCTGGCCAGGAGGAAAAAGTGAATCATGGGAACATCGAGTTCTCAGCATTGCCTTTCCGTGAAGATAGTCCTGCTTCACCATCTGATAAACGGTTTATCAAGTACACGTTCAAGAGGAAGCGTAAGAAGGACGCTCTAAGCAGTCCCGACGGGGATGACGAGAGCGGAAACATCAAGAGTCAGAAGACGGGGGAGAAAGACAATAGCTATTTGGAGTTACTGAAGTCGGGTTTGATGTCCGAATCATCACGGGACAGTCAACGTGTGGCACAAGTGGCTCGGCAGGTTAGTTACTAATATCCTCCTCTAATTCAATCATTTCATAAAAACGCAAGAACCGAGTTTTGTTTTCATCTCTGGACATATCGGCCGGTTCACGGGCTGCGCGTTTTTGCGAATTTAATGTCTATATATGACTTCGAGAAGCATGTTCCGCTCGGGTTTGTCGTCGCTTTTTCTCTCTTTTCTTCGTCATAGATTTCATTATGCGATGATTTGGTATCAACTGAGCGATACGAAAACAAGTTTCCGGGCATCGGTTGTAGATTCACAGTGCGCTATTGATATCATTGTTGAACTCATTCATTTTGTTTTCGCTCCGTGGATTCAGATTCTGGAGAAACTCAGTTTTGTTTTTCTTTGTTGCTTTGTCTGGGCACAGCTTGCGCCGTTGTCGGAGAAGAAAGGGCTGCTGCACAAGTAATCTTGGAAGCCTTGCTAAATCAGCTCAAGTTTTATCAGATTTTTGCAAAATTTGCCTGCTCGAATAATTTAGTTTAGTAGTAAAGATTTGATTGGTATTTGTATATCATATATATATATATATAACTCGATATTGATGGCTTATTATAGAGTAGGTAAAAAAATATCTGATTTTGATCCTCTAATGAAATCAGTCGAGTTTCGTTCGGATTTTGAAATAATGAAATTGTACTCTTTTGACGACGACGACGACGGTGATGACGTGGACGACGTTGTGAATATATCATATATATATATCGGGTAATCTGTTAAATAATCAGAAATTTTAAAAGTTTTTTTTTAAATACTTGGGAAATATTTTTTTTTAAATTGATGCTTTTTTTAGTAAATATTTAATTGCAAAACTATTTCGAAACTAAATCCTACATTAAAACTAAAATCTACGGATAAAAATAGATTTTTTAAAATAATATAAATATTTTATTGGATTTTATCGATTCATATTATATTTCTTCGGTTTGGTTTAAACTGGACTTAAATTATCCAAACTAGCTGAAAACTAACTAAATCTGCTATGCGGTTTTGCGTCAAACTCCTAGCATGTTGGAAGATGACATCTTAGATCCCCAAGAGACGTGAATATCAATAGAAAGCATGAAATTAAAATTTAAAAGATATTATTAGTAAAAAGCCTGGGTTTAGAACTTCTAATAATTAGGTTATTATCATTATTATTATGTATATATAATTTTAAAAAATAAAGCAGAAAATCACTATACAATCTTATGGTTAGCGTGAGAAGCAAGCAAGCTTCCTAGGGCTGACTGTCCGTCCTTCCAGAGCTTAATGCCGCCTCTCAATTCGAGCGCTCGACGGGACAAATGGAGCCATGAATTCAAACATCCTGTAACATGGATATCCCCACATATACTCCAACGAATTCACCTGACAATTTTACATAATTAGAGTCGAGGTTATTCACGATCCAAAGAAAGTTTTCATACGACCGACCACTCGGAGATTTTCCGACCAAAAGTACAGATAGCAGATAGCAGAGTTGAACTGAAAGATGAAAAGTTCACCTGCTTCACGCCCATTGGTCTGGGCCACATTGGCAAAGCATAAGAGTTGATTCCATTGTTCGTGGTAACCGTACTGCCGCTTGTACTTACACATGCCTGTATCGCAGCAAGAACCACATTAAAAGAGTTTCGAGAAATAACAGCAGTTCCCACCTGTAAAACAACGGCTTTCGATTCATATGCACGACTACTAGTATACTTTCGGGGGTTCGGCCGATTAGATTTCAGGCTGATATTATAAGAGAAGCTTGCAGAAGACAGAGGTTCAAACCTTTTGCTGAGGCAATGACGGTGTCCCGCCTGAAGGATTGGCTACTTCTGAATCCCGAGGGCTTCTAGTTTCCTGATGAATCCATCGAAAGTTGAACCGATAAATACACTGTTACATTCATGTATACATGTATACCTATGGGTCCAGATGCAGGGAGAGGGAATGTTTACACTGCAGAAGGGAGTGTCGAAGATGCTACGTCTTTGTTTCTTCTGGTCGGGTTTTTCCTGTCGGATGAAGTGCTTCTGGGCATGGCTAGCGACTTGTGTCGATGACCTCGTCTTTACATATCTCGTAGCAATTCCTTTCCAGTCCCCTTTCCCCAGCTTTTCAAGTCCTTCCAGAAACAGCTGGTGCTCTTCTTCGGTCCAAATCACTCCTGTTGTCCCCGAAAACGATAATCTCCTCGTCAAATTCGGGATAAGAATCACGAAAGAAGACAACTATCTATCGCATCGAATTGGTTTCACACACATATAAAAGATTCGGTTCTTATTCTTAGCATCTGTACTGAGAAGTATAACCAGAACCTCAGATAGCATATAGCACTTTTACTCACCTTTGTTTCTTCTCTTAAGAGGAGGTTCACAATCACAAGAACCGATCTCGCTGTCTTCGAGACCGACAGAGCTAACAGTGTTGTCCCCATCTCTCACCTGCTTCGTCTCTTCGGTTAGGTAAACTCCGAATATCTTCACACCTCCTCTGAACGGTTCCCTTGTATCGCCGATCTGCCCAGGTTCCGTATTTTCACTCATATCCCGAAAACCAGAGATTGATGCAAAGAGAATGTTGATTCCGCAGATGTGGGATTCAGAAATTCAGACAGAATTTCCAAAAGAAAAGAAAATTTTTGAAGTGGGTTAAGTCGAGGCTTGTGTTAGACACAATCTCCTCAAGACGAAATTGCCCCGTTATCAAGTGGTTACGGTTTACGGCAATCGTCTCCAAGATACAACGACTTACGATTCTACAAAAGCACCACCTGCTTTAGAGAATCCAACGAACTACAAAAGTTCAGAACTCTTTAGAGAAAAGGTTTGAGATTATTTCTTTCTGAAAGGAAGAATGCACTCAGAAAAAATGGGATGCTGAAAATGATCCTATGGGCGCCCTATTTATAATATTCGGGGGTTGCTACGAAAACATGTGAAGGAAGAGGCTCCACCCTTTCAACCAGCAGTTCTATCCGAATCATTCCAAAAGGGAACGTTTCGTCAAGAACGCATTGGTTCGAAGCCCAACCGTCCCACATCGTCTGCAACTTTAAATTTTAAATCCCACATCGAAACGTTTTTATCTGAACCGAACAGTCCCGAGTGGAACTTTCAATTCAAAATTTAAACGTTCCGCTCGGGGAACTTTGCTCGTTTTCTCCCGAAAAGGAAGAAGTGAGACCAAGCATTTTTAGCTTTAGTCAACCTTGAGCTTGAACATTGTTGACTCAAGGGGAGTTCTTTTTATAAGGAAGCTCCTTCCTTCCTCTTGGCCAAAACTTTAGATGTGGGACAAACACACATATAAGGAAGCTTCCTTCCTTGTGCTTTGTCATTTTTCCAATGTGGGACAAATGTTCTTCCTCCACATTTTTACATTTATTTTGTATAATTAATTTCTCATTCACCACAAATTGGTTTTAAGAAATTAATAACATTTTTCTAACAATCCCCCACATGAATGAAAATTAATGAATGCATAAAAATTGTTTATTCCAAAGAGTTCCGATGAATTATTATTGCATCGGGATGGTAGTTTTTTACATTGAACCTTCCTTAGTGAAATACTGTCGGGCATACTAACCAGTTGGTGGACGTGATGCCTTGAACCCCCCAGTTGTATAACATATACCAAGACAACCAGTATTCACACAATAATATTTCTAACTTTCGTTTTTGTTCTCATGTTGTTGTCCGTTTCGGCCATGGACCATATCTTGGATTCATAAGTGTGTTTTTTTTTCCTTATAGGAGCGGCCATCATAACTCCTCACTTATATAGGTGATCTTACCTACCGAACTTTATGTCGAAAGTATTCTGCTATACTCTACCTTATTTAAGGTGTAGGAATCATTAAGAATTCAATATGGAATTCAACCTCACCACGATACGCAGATTTTTCTTACACTTGGATTATCGCTTTAGGAATGAGATGGAAATAAGTTCCAAGTGTTCACTGAACTTCCATAACTTGGTTTTCCTATTGAACCAAGATCTTGGGATCTCCAGTCAACAAGGTTGGGTTACCGCTATGGTCATTCTTTTAATTCGTGGATTTTAATCCCATTCCTCTCGATAACTTGTACAATTGATCTCGATTAAGGCCTTTCGTTAACGGATCTGCTAAGTTTTCCTTAGACTTAACATAATCTATGGTTATTACACCATTTGAGATCAATTGTCGGATGGTATTATGTCTACGACGTATATGTCGAGATTTACCATTGTACATACTATTTTGTGCCCTACCAATTGCTGATGTACTATCGCAATGTATCATAACAGCAGGCACGGGTTTGTTCCAACACGGAATATCTTCTAGAAAGTTACGAAGCCATTCAGCTTCTTCTCCAGCCTTATCTAAGGCTATAAACTCGGACTCCATTGTAGATCGAGCTATACACGTTTGCCTAGAAGATTTCCAGGAGATTGCTCCTCCACCGATAGTAAACACATAACCACTAGTGGCTTTGGAGTCATTAGTATCTGATATCCAATTCGCATCACTGTAACCTTCTAACACAGCTGGATATCTAGAATAACACAAACCATAATTTCGGGTATACTTTAAGTATCTAAGTACCCTTATCAAAGCTTTCCAGTGATCTTCGTTTGGATTACTTGTGAATCTACTCAAGTAGTTCACTGCATATGCAATATCAGGTCTAGTACAATTAGTTAGATACATCAAACTACCAATGATCCTTGCATATTCCACTTGAGAAACTGGATCTCCTCGATTGTATGTATGTATGTATGTATGTATGTATATATGTATGTATTGATGCAGCCCAGTGTTCTGTTCGTGTTTCCGGTTTTCTTTTCTGTGCTTGCATACATCTTTGTCAAAACCATGAAATAGTGTTAAAAGATACAGAGAATTGCTTTGGGTCACTTCCCCATCCATGAATGAGTATAGAGTCATGCCTTATGAAAAAATATGAACGAACTGTAGTGCTTTTATCATCAACAATGATGTCTAGATTAAAGTAATTCTTGTTCAGGGAGGACTTTGAAATCTCCTGGAAGTTGAAAATCTGTAATTCAGGTAACCTTGTGTCAGGTTATATATATGTCCATTGGGTGGATTTCTTGTCGAATTTGCACTTCATTCTATTGTTGATTCCTTTGCTCAATAGTCTGATTTCGCGGGTATTATCCTTTTTCAGTACACTCCCGCTATTGACATTTGGAGCATCGGGTGCATCTTTGCGGAGGTGTTGATGGGAAAGCCATTGTTTCCCGGGAAAAGCATCGTGCATCAGTTAGAGCTGATTACTGATCTTCTCGGCACACCGTCACTAGACACCATTTCCGGAGTATGATCCTTTGCATATCTATACTAAAAATATCTTCTATGCCTCTCTGATACTGATAACTTGCACTGATGCAGGTCCGGAATGAGAAGGCAAGAAAATACTTGACCGGAATGAGGAAGAAAAATCCAATTCCCTTCTCGCAGAAATTTTCCAATGCGGATCCTTTAGCACTTCGGCTAATGCAGAGGTTGTTAGCTTTTGATCCAAAGGATAGGCCAACTGCTGCAGAGGTGATTTTTCTGTCATTTCTCTCTTTCCACTATATACCATTTCTGCGTTTCTTCATTTGCTCGGCGATGTTTCTTACATAGCGATGTTGCATTTCTCGTGTGTGTTTTTTGCCAACAGGCGCTGTCTGATCCTTACTTCAAGGGCCTTGCTAAGGTTGAAAGAGAACCTTCCTGTCAGCCGATCTCGAAGCTGGAATTTGAATTCGAGAGACGGAGATTAACAAAGGATGACATTAGGGAACTAATCTACAGGGAGATACTAGAATACCATCCTCAGTTGCTTAAGGATTATATGAACGGATCTGAGGGCTCGAACTTTGTTTATCCGAGGTTTTTCGATCCTTCCTCTGAGCTATTTCTTGACTACAACATTTGAGTGATGTCAGATCTTATCCTCTTAATTACTCAACTCGTTATTTGCAGTGCCATAGGACATCTTAGAAAGCAGTTTGCATACCTCGAGGAGAACAGCGGCAGAAGTGGACCTGTAATTCCTCTAGAAAGAAAGCATGTATCACTTCCCAGGTATATCTTATTTTCCTTTCTATTCATCCTTATAAAAGTTGCAGAAGACGTGTAATTTTCCGAGGCAATCCTTAGTCTTACAAGAAGCGTTATTATCGCTACATATTCTTCTACGCAGGTCGACAGTTCATTCCAGCTTAGTCCATTCCAACTTCAATGTGTCCGATAGCCGACGTGGTTCTGAAGAGGCATCTAGAAATGGAGTGGCTCCGTCGACTTCCGCAAATCCAGCCAAGTCTCTCGGGCCTCCACCGAGAGCGCCATCGGGTGTGAATCTCTCGCTTCGCTATTCACCAATAATCCCGAGTGTAGAGAATTTTACAACATCTAAAAAAGACATTTAGCTTTTGTCTCTGGAGATTGAGAAAGATCAACCCTTTTGTGCATTTTCGCAGGTAGACCAGGTCGTGTGGTGGAATCATCGGTACCTCGCGAAAACGGGAGAATCCTTGAAGAGGCCTGTGATTCGAGGAGCTATTACAGAAACACAGTCCTCCTCCCTCCTCAGACCGCTTCGCCTCACTGCTTCTTCCGAACAAATCCGATAAACCCAGAGAAGCAGCCGAAACCGCAATACCTCCCGCAATGCCAACCTAACAAACCGGCTCCTCCTAACGTGATCCCCGTCGACATGAACCCTAACCCGTATTTCCAGCCGCAATCCAAGACAGATCAGTTAACCGACGGCCAAATGGCAATGGATGCTAAGCTGCTGCAGGCACATTCCCAGTACGGTGCGGTAGGAGCTGCGGCTGTTGCGGTAGCGTCACATCGGAGCATTGGTACGATTAGGTATGGCTCTTCTTAAGATCAGAGATTCGGATTTTCGCATGCTCTTCTTCTGGTTAGTATTTTATGTAAGTATTTGATTCAGGAAGACGATGATGACAATAAATATTCCCAGTTGTATAACCCCTCTTCATTCAAGATTGTTAAGAGGAGAGAGCCTCCTCGCCGTCTGTATTCAGTGATTCTTTCCAGTGATTTCTTCTCTGATCTTTTCTTCTCCATAGCTTTTGCATTTGGTGTAGAAGTAGTTCATGGAAGAGATGAAGATTGAGGTGAAGATGTATTTCTTAAACTTTGTCACCGGTCCCATGTTTTTTCTGCCCTTGTTCACGTCTATGGTCGTTCCTCCTGAATCTGGCAGAGGGAGAAGATAAAATAAAGAAGCCCAAAGAGAAAACAAAAGGGAACCAGCGTTGATCCGTAAGTTGTATCATTGTCTATACATAGACAAATCTCCCGACCAAAGTGGTAGTCCCCATATGGTTGACTCATCTCGTCAAATCTAGAAGAATGGTCCGGTCTGTCCGTACGTCCGTGAATCGCTGTCCCTCGCAGATGATGAAAAATGTTGACTTTAGTCATTGGGGCAAAAGGTACAAATAAATATGTACCCAACTCTCCTAGTTAGGCCTCCGAGCAAATGTGTTTGTATTTGACGAACACCCAAATGAGAAGTCAGTGGATCTGAACTAAGAGAAGATAGATTCAGATTCTGGATTAGTTCGTTTTCGTGATGAACGCTTTTGAACACCGGGCCTGCGATGAAGAATGGGTATTTGATCCTAAATTTGAAACGGGAATCAAAGTTACAAACCGAGGCCGATTTCGGTTTCAATTGGCAGGGTACAAAGTATTGTATAGAAATGCTAACTGCATAAGAACACATGAAATAGAGAGATGAAGATTCGGAGCTTACTTGATTCATGCCATAGTTTGGATAGTTTGGTTGAGATACGGATTCAAATGATAGCCAGTTTCAGGATTATAACCGGCCCCTCCTGAGAAAAATTCAAGATTGAAATTAAGAATAGGGGTAGAAATTTGATGGGCAACCAAAAAAACAATAAACTTCATTCAGGAATTAAAAACCCTCCTCAATCCCACTGATTCATAAGGAACAAAACATCCCAGAAGCTTTAACGGTTTTGTTTCTCTTCGTCAACCTAACTGACATTTTAATGAGAATTCGTTTAAAGTTCAAACAAAACCATACCTATTATGTGTTGATCCCGACGATGTGGGATTCAGAAATTCACACAGAATTTTCTGAAAAAAGAAAATTTTGAAGTGTGTTAAGTCGAAGCTTGTGTTATACACATCTCCTCAAGACGAAATTGCCCCATTATTAAGTGGTTACGGTTTTGGCAATCGTCTCCAAGATACAACGACTTACGATTCTACAAAAGCACCACCTGCTTTAGAGAATCCAACGAACTACAAAAGTTCAGAACTCTTTAGAGAAAAGGTTTGAGATTATTTCTTTCTGAAAGGAAGAATGCACTCAGAAAAAATGGGATGCTGAAAATGATCCTATGGGCGCCCTATTTATAATATTCGGGGGTTGCTACGAAAACATGTGAAGGAAGAGGCTCCACCCTTTCAACCAGCAGTTCTATCCGAATCATTCCAAAAGGGAACGTTTCGTCAAGAACGCATTGGTTCGAAGCCCAACCGTCCCACATCGTCTGCAACTTTAAATTTTAAATCCCACATCGAAACGTTTTTATCTGAACCGAACAGTCCCGAGTGGAACTTTCAATTCAAAATTTAAACGTTCCGCTCGGGGAACTTTGCTCGTTTTCTCCCGAAAAGGAAGAAGTGAGACCAAGCATTTTTAGCTTTAGTCAACCTTGAGCTTGAACATTGTTGACTCAAGGGGAGTTCTTTTTATAAGGAAGCTCCTTCCTTCCTCTTGGCCAAAACTTTAGATGTGGGACAAACACACATATAAGGAAGCTTCCTTCCTTGTGCTTTGTCATTTTTCCAATGTGGGACAAATGTTCTTCCTCCACATTTTTACATTTATTTTGTATAATTAATTTCTCATTCACCACAAATTGGTTTTAAGAAATTAATAACATTTTTCTAACAGAGAAAGAATTGATTATGGCACCTCGAGCTGTTCTTGCGATTTCTTCCTAGGGAAAAAGGGTTCTATGGGTGTATTTATGGATGTATCTAGATAGATATACACATGCCTTTGCTGAATATTCTTAAACTGCATATATTTCCTTTTTCGCCTGAGAGCCAGAAGGTTTGCTGGTTCATATTTTCAGTCTTGTCGTTCAGACAAGGAAATGTTCCGAAAAAGTAAAATTTATGACCAAATCCATGAATTTATTCTGATGGTTTTTTTTTTTTTTTTTTTTGTGCAAAAAGTATGGAAATATTGGCATTGGATTTGATTCTCATCCTCTGTATTGATTAGCTTCTGAATATTGTCATCAAACCCTAAATGGAAATAGTTGGAATCGTGAAAGAGAAAAAAATGGAAAACTCCTCGGCGACGGAATTTATCGGAACTTTCCTCTTTTTATCCACGGAATTTAGATTTATCTTTGTGAACAAATTAGCATTTCGATGATCCAGTGTAGAGACACGCCCATAACACGATCCAATCAAACCAACATAAGATTAGGGTTTTACAGCCTCGTACCTTCTGTCTCAATGGTTGAATTTCAGTTGCTCTGTTCGTTTTCTACCGGCAATGTCTTCTAATTCCCTGATTTCCAGTTATCTTAATCGAAAAAACGAGATACAGTGAGAGCGACAATCGCCGGCGTCTTCCTCGTCTTCTCCGACGGCGGTAATATCGCCGCCTTCCATGGTGACGATGAAGCTGAATGGCAGGAGAGAGAGAGAGAGAGAGCGAGAGGAGGAAGCCACTTGCGCAGGTCACAGCATGGGAGTAACAGAACTCCATGACAGATCGAACACTCCAAAAGCTTCGGCTTCCATCGATGACGAAGAAGCAGGCACTTGATGTCTTATCCCTAAACACAGTTGCATCGAGAACTCTGTTGTCCTCCCTCATTCCTCGTATCAAATTGTACATGTATTATCATCCGTTATCTTTTAAATTGATCAATAAATGATGTAATTTAAATTATGGATTTAGTTTATACTATCGGATAATAAGTATTTTATGATGGCTAAATTGATAATATTACGTATTCCGTTTTTTTGGAGATATTATAATCTTCCAATTATAGCATTTCTAAGTATTCATTTATTAGAGATAAAATATCATCGGCGCATGGATTTAGAAGCCCAGAAATCTAATTTTCGAAATCCGTTAAAATTTTATTTGAGAATTAAATTTTTTCTTCGGTTATGTCGTATTTTATAAAATTCGTAAATTACAAATTCGAGGATACGTTACATGATGACGGAGACGTCGGAGAGACAAATTCGAGTTTTTGAGAGTCCATAAAAACGTAAAAACGACATACGCTTAAAATTAATTAAAACATTTTAATAGGTAATTTAATTAATAAATCCATTTGTATATCCTTTAACGGAGTTGTATATATAAATATATCTAAGGAAATAAACGATATATATCCTCCGAAACTGACGGACTTACCTTGCTGCCTAAGTCAAATCCATCAATGAAATGGCGTCGTTTCGATTCAGTTCAGAAAGCTAGGGGTATAATAACGTAATATCATGCAAAAAAGTAGGGGTAGTATCGGAATATCAGCCATGAATATGCACCCGCATATACGTGTGTGTATACACGGGCCCGGTTTCAGTTCTCTTTCGAGTCGGGAATAGAGCGAGCGTAGCAGAGCAGTTTCCGTTATCCAGTTTTCTCTCTCTTTCTCCCGATTCTTTCTCCAACAGAGAAAATAGCGAAATGCAATTTTCTCGCTCGCGAAAATTATAAGGAGAACAATTTAAGGGTTAGGGTTTCCTGTTTCCTGCGTCGTTTCTGTTCCTGTTTATGCCCTGCAGATTGCTCGAGAAACAGTCATGGTTTCTGACTCGGTCACAGACTCAAGCCTCTACTCTGGGCCTCCGAACTTGGGTGATTTCACGAAGAAGAAGAGGGTGAGATTTTCGAATTATCCCTGTTTCTTATCGATTTCATGCATTTCTTGTAATGGGCATTGTGCGCGTAATCTCGGTGAATTGTCCGGAAATTGTGTCATAATTTTCGGCTCCCGCATTTTGGTTTTTTATTCTGGGTACGTGTAACTGATTCGTATTGATACAGACACCATGATTTTGAAGAATCTCTGTTGACAACTCGCTGTCTTCGTGTTCTTAGCGATGTCTTTGTAGTTGATTGATATCTCAGATGCTCTGTTTCTGTCTTTCTTTCTTTCTTCTGTAAAAACGCATTGATCAGTTTGTAACTGGTTGCAGGCGAATTGGTACTCAAAACTGAAGCAATGGAAAGTTGATGCTCGTCGCAGGCAATGGCTTTTCCATTGTATTCCCTCGATCTGTCTCGTGTCTTTTTGTTGTTTTGTCCAATCTTAATGATGTCTTTCTATTGGCGATTTCGCTAACTTTGTTTTATGTATTGTGAATGGTAGTGAAGAAGGGACATGTAGGTGAAGACGAAAATGGCGTCTTTGGAACGAAATCTTTGACTGAGAAGAAAATGGACGGTCCTTTCGGTTACCTACACATGGGGAGGAATGATGAACAGACTGATGATGCGCTCACCAAGTGGAATATTAGAAGCGATGCACATTCATCGGCTGGAAGTAGCCCCACAAGCGTGTTGACGAGCAAAGATCCGGACAGTAAGAGTAGTGACTGTTTCTGTTGCTCGGAGAAGATGGGAGAGGGAGAGGAAGAGGAAGAAATTTACGATGATGCTTTTGACAATTTTGAGGGTTTTATGGATGCATTAAACTACTTTGACGACGAGGACAAAATCCCGTCACCAGAGAGAATGACTGCAGACGAAAAATCACCGAGGATGAGTCAATCAAGCAGTTTTCCCGACAAAAGCCCTTTACTCGATACGAAGAACTCGGAGAAAGAATCACCAAAGATAAGCCGGAGAAAGAGCTCTCCCAAGAAAAACCCTCAAGGGAAGACGGAGAAGTCAGAGCAAGAACAAGCTTCAAGCACCCAGCAGAGAATCTCTAACACAGAACCACTTCCATGTCCCATATGCTGCGAAGTGATGGATGCAACCGATTTAAGTTTCTTGCCATGCCCTTGTGGGTTCAAGGTATGCCTTTTCTGCCATAAAAAGATTGTTGACAACGACGGTCGCTGCCCTAGTTGCAGGAAAGATTATCAGACAAGCAATGCCAGTGGAGAAGTGAGTTTTCAGCAGCGTGGCCGGGGGATTCTTCGCTTGTCTCCGTCGTTCAGAGGCCTTGACAGGGCCTAGCGATGCTGAAGATTGAGTTCCACCGTATATTTTTTTTTCCATTTCCTTTCTCAGTTTTCGGGTTTGGAAGTTAGCAGTTGCAGGGTTTTTTCCTCTCGGATTCCGGTGATTCTTTTCGACATAAACCTGATTAAGGTTGTGAATAGAGAGTCCATGTTTTTTGTTTGGTTGTCGCTCTCAGAGAATAATAGATTGCTTTTGCTTTGCTATCTTTTCGTGTCCTACATTTTCTCTTCCTGAAGAAGGGGTGTGACTGTCCGTGAATGAATGAAAGATATTACTAACCAGGTCTGGGCTTCGAGCTTGGTTTTATATAGATCTGGAAAAAAAAAAAGGTCGGCCCAAGCCCGGGCCTGAAACTTCCGGAACGAGTGGGGTTCGGGCCGACCCGATTGATACACCTAATATATATGTATTAGGGTAACGTTGTAATTCTATAATATATCCTATCAAATACAAAGGAAAAAAAATCATTTTACACCTGATCTAGACTCTACGTTAAGGATATTTATTAAAATTCAAACTATTTGACCATAAATCTTGTTATTTCATAAAATTTAAATGAAAAAGTTTTATTATGATCAAATAAAATGTCAAAAAAAATCCACGACTGACCCAAAACGTTTATATACATTTCGTTTTGCAAGTTGGAGTTGTAAAATTAATACAAATTTCCCATTAAAAACATATCATGCACAAAATGAGTACCAAAGTCATTTTTCGTCTGCTAAAGCAAAAGATTGAAAAAAAGATGGACCACTCAGAAGGCCGGAACCCACAAGCTGTGTACGCATATGCATACGTATATGTATATATGCAGGCGTGTGTATATATGCGAAGTATATTCTGCAGTGGGTGTAGCGTTTTGTTTTGATATTGTATGGTATTTTCGAACGGTTTTATCATTTATGTGGATTGTAAGTTTGTTCCCGCAATATGGTCGATGTTAATTTGAAGATTACATGGCAAAGTTGTTATGTTTCTTCAGATAAATTAATAATTTATTCTTCAGATATTTGCTAGAGAGATTTCCACTGAGAGAGAAAGAAAGGCATAAACATAGGCGCAGGCGTTGGGTTTCGGATTTTCGAAATCGAATCGAAAAATGTGGTATTTGTTTTTATCCGAAACGTTTAAAATAAATTTTCGAACGATATTATTTTTAGAAAATCAAAATTTTCATGCTTCTCTTGTTCTGTACAACGATATGTCAACACGAAATTCTTTGGATTATTTCATGTAATTTAGAGTGGAGATTCAGATAGCCAGTTTTCATTGGCAACCAAACCAAAAAAGGATCCTTCTATCCATAAATATAATCATAGAGAGGGAAGTCACAACACAAAGGCCCTTCCTCTGAGTGAAGAAGGTCAAAACAGAAGTTGCAGAAGTAGCATGGGTTCTTCTTTGCCCACTTATCATCCACCCCCAACTTGGTAGCTCTATTGATCTTACAGACTCCACATTTCACGGCGACCCGTTTCCGTTGATACACGAGTCTTGGATAAACCGCTCTGTTGTGGTCGTCATCGGGATGAATCAGTCTCATGTCCCGTATCACTATCATATGCTTGCAATCTCCCTGCGTGAAAGATTAGTTTCATTGAGCACTGTTAGAGGCATTACCTCCTCATGGTTACCCTAGAGGCATATTATATTGTGAGCCTACCTGGTGACAGTACAGATAACTTGCACCGAGTCTGAATCTCAAGTCACAGAAACGTGTGGTGCTCATTTCTGCGGCTCCGAAGTGAGGGAGATTCGGTTTCACTTCCTTTGAAAACAGCTTATGCTTCCGTTGTGGTTCGCCAGCTACAATGTATTGCCATTTCCTCAGTGCTTCATCCTTTGAATGCCAAAGCCAATCGAGCATTGGTTTGCTGTAATCTATTGCGGATGGATTCCTTAGATCATTGTAGAAGATATCCTAAAAAACGGAAAACATTTGGATAAATCAGAAGTTAAAACAAAATGATCGTCGTCAAGTAAGAGTCGAGCAGATTCTTCTTACTTCTATGAGGAAGTATCCAGAGCGATCATATTTCCCAGCCTTTGTCATCACCTGATCCGTACGACAATGTATTTTGTCCTTCAGTTCGGTTAACTTTTGGCATCCTAGAACCAAGAACTCTTGGGTCTAAAACAGAATATCACATAGGCATTAGTAGAGTTACACTCAAATTGCATGTGTTAAACATTGACTAAGATTTTTCATATCTGCATGGGCAAAGAGAAGGGCATTCCCAAAAAATAGATTCATCTAACAATACAAAGGCCACAGAAGTTTATAGAATGCAGTACCTTCGTTTTGCCGCTGTTATATATTTCTATGCACAGAATGACTTCAGGAACTCGCATGTCCAGTGGGTCTTTAATGTCTGGTGGCTTCAGGAGCTGGTGTACAGAGAGGATGATAAGCAGAACACAAGAAGCATGCAGAAAAAAAAATAACTCGATAGTTGGAAGAAGTTTCAGTGGCAAATGGTCAAATGAAAGTGTATGGAACTACGGAAGAGTCACTCGATTCATCGGTAAAACCTTTGTTGCGTGATTTGTGGACCTAAGTGATTGCATCCTCTCAAAACCTTCGGAAGAAGCGGTTGCAGATTTGACATTTACACAAGTTCTGCGTGAATATAGGAAACACGAAATTATCACAAAACAGAAAAGGTGTATCGGTGAATGAACATTAGGCAATCTTAAATAGCATACTTTAGACAGTGCAGCTCCACTGTTGCTTTTACCTCATCCTGCATTTTCTTTATTTGTGCAAGTTGCTCCACTTTTGTGAGAAAAGCTTCCTAAGAACAGAAATAACAGAGTAAGTGAATGCATCGATTATGTAACGCGAAATTAACATTCGCGCCCTTCACTCCCTGTCGAACTATTCCACCTCAGAGTTGCAATGAAGCCAACAACTTAACAATAAAAGAGTTTGTGCACAACACTACCGATATAGAGGAAAAAAAGCTATCAACATGATTAAAGAAAACCAGTGTGTAGTGTACAATATGATTTCAATTGCTAACTATCAGCCATGCTAAATCTTGACATGTAAACGCACCTCACTCTTCTTTTCTGTCATCTTCCTTTTCTTCTTAGGTTTGGCTTCACTTGATGACTTCAAGAAAGGTGAATTGTTTGCTGTTTCTGCACAATTTTCCAAGTTAACACCTTCACTACTTGTCACTTTCTGATCACCATCACTTCTGAACAAACCAAAAAGCCATGTTCTTATATCAGAAGAGAAAAATGCTTATTTACCAAAAAAAGAGAGAAGAGAAAAATGCTTATTAGAACTTCATAGATGTATTGAGAATACATAATGGAATGAGTGCACAGCACGAAAATCAAAACATTCGAGAATGGGCATAAACATGACCACCCGGCACACCGATACAAAACCGAATTACCAAATCCGTGTTACAAATGATCCACATGAGAAGGGGCATTATTTCTGAGAAACTAGAAATGACTGTCAAAATTCCTTACAGATGAGAAGTACCAGAAGGTTTTTCCAAGTAATTTTGACAATCTCTGTCCTCCTGAAATGGAACCGAGTACCATCCTCATAAGAAGCCAATTAACTATGCTCGGATCGGTAACCTTAAAATAACAAAAAAAGCAAAACCAAAAATTCATCCATGTACCCGAAAAGCCTCCTTCACAGCCATTTCTATGAGTTCTTCCTCTGTATAAAGTTTCAGGGCGTCGGTCCTACATCACAGTTTCACCATCTTATAATGTGTATGCATTGGTATAACAAACTTATTTGAAGAAAAAAACAGTGATATGTGAATACATACGAAACATCATATTCTCGCGAGTTTGAAGAAGAACTTGGAGACAAGTAAGTTTCCAAATCCTGCAGCACAAGGTGAAGAGAATTGTGGAACTCAGGGATTTTTGAAAGAGGACCCACCATGTTTGGCAGATAGATAGGCCCCCCTCTTGGTACCCCCGAGGTCTCCTCACTCTCCATATCCTTCCAGTTTCAAGAACTCCTCGATGAACACAAGCAAACTCTATCTTAGATAAAAGAGAAGCTGGAACAAAACCGAAACAGATTCAAGGCAGTAACAAGTGTCTTAGAGAGAGAGAGAGAGAGAGAGAGAGAGAGA